TTGAGACCAGCCTGAGCAACATAGTGAGACCTCATCTCTAAAAAAAAAAAAAAAAATTAACCAGGTGTGGTGGTGAGCACCTATAGTCCCAGCTACTTGGGAGGCTAAGGTAGGAAGATCGCTTGAGCCCAGGAGTTAGAGGTTACAGTGAGCTATGATGGTGCCACTGCACATCAGCCTGGGCGACAAAGCAAAAAAAAAACAAAACTCAATTTTCAAACTCCACTTGACAACCAAGAATAAAGTAAAAAGCCAAGTGACAAACTAAAAGAAAATATATTCAATAGTTTTGAAAACTGTATTAAATTGCAGTATGGAACCTGTAATCAGATTATCTAGGTTTGACTATTGCAGCTGAAGTCCTCCCCTCCTCCTTCTCTCCACTTACCCTTCCTCCTGCCCTTCTCCCCCTCCTTCATCAGCTTCTTAGCTTTGTGTTGCTGTGTATCCATGTATTTGTGAATGGACACTTGGGCTGCTTCTACCTCTTGACTACTGTGAATGATGCAGCTGTGAACACTGGTGTACAAATATTTTTTGTTTGTATTTTTTTGGGAGAAACAATTTTAAAATGGAAAGGATAATATAAACAAGATTAAAAAAAAAATCAACCAAACAAGTATGAAAAGAAAAGTCTCTTTCTCACTCCATACCCCTAGCTCCTTTCCCCAGAAGTAACAGCTATCACCAGAATATGTACACATAAATATCCACTTTGCTTTTTTTCCCCACTTGACAATATCTCTTGCAAATTATTCCATTTCAGCACATACAGGTAAATTCTACTTGACCATTTTCCCTTGATGCATATTATTTATTTATTTAGCTAGTCCACTACTGATAGACACTCACACTGTTAAAATCTTTTGTACAAACTATGTTGTAATAAACATACTTGCTTCACCATCTTTGTCCACATAGGTGAGTATGAAAAATTCCTAAATATAGAATAGTTGGGACAAAGTAAATACATATTGAAGATTGGGACAGTTGTTGACAAACTGCCTGTCTTAGCAACAGTGTTTAAGAATTCCTTTTCACTATTCTTTTTTTTTTTTCTTATTTTTCAACATTTGCCCTTTGGCTATAGCCTTTTCACTATTCTTGAGCACTTTCTTTTTTTTTTTTTTTTTTTCTTGAGCACTTTCTGAGTCTCAGTTTCTTTACCTTAAAACTGGTCATCTCTAGCCACTGGCCTTTCTCTTCCTTGACCATGCCAAATTCATCCCCACCTGAGAACCTTTGCACTTGCTATTCCCACTGTCTTAAAAACTCTATTACAGGAGGTGGGGGGGAACTCTATTACCATGGATTTCCACTAAGCTGGCTCCTTTTTAACCTTTACATCTCAGCTCAGATGTCACCTCCTCAAAGGTGACCCAACCATCCTGTATCTAAAGCAGCCCTCTAGGCAATAACTCTCACCACTTATAATTTTATTTTTTCCTCTTACTCATTACTATCCGAAATTCTTATTTGTTCTCTCTCTCTCTCTCTC